TACAAAATCTGTGATTTTCCGGAACTAAAAAACCAGATTTTTTCCTGATTTTTGTCTTTTATTTTTTTTTACAGGGTCGAAAGTTAAATAAAAAGTTATGAAACAATAAAATTATATATATAGGATTACCCGTATATGACAAATAACGAATATAATGGCTCCACTGAATATGAAAAAGCAATCCATTTCTTGAAGATAGGTTGCAATTGTGGTTGTTCGAATATTATTTCGAGAGAAAATTTTGCCGAATTACGTGAAGCGTTTCAAGCTTTCTCTAGATCCGAACAAGATATATTTTTAATGGCCCAACTGAAAGCGATGAATGATGGAGAAATAACTGCCAGCCGACGTCTTAAAAAGAAAACGCGCACTAATAAGCGAACATTTTACTACTGAGATCGCAATACGTCGCTTTGTCAAAAAACGTATCTAAATATGCTAGAAATTGGTCGCACATACTTCGAAAACGTCCGAAATCATCTGGCAACAAATGGTATAATACCGCGCATTCACAGTAACATTAAACGAATGCCACGATGAAAAACCAAAATAACCATCGATATAACCGTTGCTACCATCGTGAAGAATTTTCTCGAAAATTATGCTGAAATTCACGGACTACCAAGTCCTGGTAGAAATGTCAGTCGCATTACTCAATCGCTTACACTATTGCCAGCTGAAACGAGTTATAAATCGGTCTATCGCGATTTTATTGCAGGTTTCGAAAACGATAGCCCGTTGAAATTATTAAAATATGACGCATTCCGCAAGTTATGGCACCAATTAACGCCATATATTCAAATCATGAGTTCACGAACGGATTTATACGACTCGTGCCAACATTTTCGGAACGGCTTACAATACAATGCTCGCAAGGAAGAAGAAGCGAAAGATTTACTGAAAAAATTCAAAGAACATCTAGTTAAAGCTAAATTAGAAAGAAACTATTACAACAAAAATACGAAATTAGCAGAACAACAAAGGAAATTGGTAGACGGTAATTACGTTGTAACAGGGGGTAAAGCTGATTATTGTAGCCTTGACGCGACTGCTCATTACAGTTACGATTGAGCGCAAAATGTTCACGTGCCCCATTCCGATCAACAGGTAAGTAAAATTTATTATCTCAGTCCACGTAAAGTGTATTTATTTGGTATCCAAGATGAAGCTGTACGCGAACAAATTAATTACGTTCTTGATGAAGACGAAATTATCGGCAAAGGTCCTAACGGCACACTAAGCCTGGTCTTCGATGGAATTAAGAAATTGAATAAAGGCGAAAAATATTTAAAAATTACTTGTGACAATGTGGGAGGACAGAACAAAAATAATGTCACTATTTGATTTTACCTATATTTAGTAATTTGCGGTTATTACGAAACTATCGAATTAAATTTTATGGTGCCTGAACATACTAAATTCAAGTGTGATGGTAGTTTTGGATTAATTAAGAAACTGTACCGCAAAACAACTGTAGATTGTGTGGGTCATATTGTTGAGATTGTGAAAAGGTCGAGTACAGCAGGATTAAACAAGGCTCAGTGCTATGAAAATGGCAAAGGCTTTCAGTACTTGGATCTTAATTCCGTGTTGGGGATTTTCTTTAAAAAATTGAATGGTTTGCAAAAATATCAGCATTTTCTATTCGAAGCAGTTAACCCTGGTATTGTCAAATCTCAGCTGGTTGCTAATGGAGCTTTTACTGAATTTAATTTGTTAAAAACTAGAAAGGCAAGTGTTTCTGAAATTATCAAAGAAATTAAATCTTTTTCAATCATAATACTAACTCCGTCTTCTTTGAATTACAAAAGACAAGAATATCTTTACCATCATATTCGTCCATTTGTTAGAGACGAATTCAAAGATATTACTTGCCCAAGCCCAACCTATACTGGCAATGAATAAATTATTAAAATAATTATATACTTAATATTCCCTCATAAAAAGGATACAAGTATCATTAAAAAAGCAAATAAAATAAAAAAATCATGGTAAACATCATAAACGAACTCGAACAGAGAAATAAAAACCTATTAGAAGAAAACGAAGTATTAAAGAAGCAACTAGTTGATAAAGAAGAAAGCTTCAAACTAAAAATTTATAATGCTATTCACAATGTTATGGAAAATGAAAGCCCAGAAATTGCTGGTACTTTAATGACCTTACAACAACATTTTTGGTCATGAGATGAGTGGGTAAAGGTTCAAAAAGAAAATGGATCTGAGAAAGTTAATTTTAGCAATGAATTCACTTTTGAAAACATTGTTAAGGGTTGTGCTGAATGAATATTGCTTAGTTGTAATTCTCTCAGTTATGTTTCCAAACAAAATAAGAAACTTGAAGAAAGAAATGCTGAGTTAGAACTAAGGATGCTTGCCGAAATCTTTTTAATAAATGCCGAAATGCCAAAATTCTTATTATAAGTAGTAATTACTAT